AGTGAGATGTATTAAAATGATTGATTCTTTGCAATTTTTGGCATGACTTAATATCTTAATTAGCCTTTGCACAGCATACATTTGCAACCTTAATTACGACGTTGATTGGAAACAGGGCACCTAATGCTAACCTATATAGATCCATCAGACTCGTATTCTTTGCACTGCGTCTCCTATGTACTAATTTATTTAGTAACGAACAGGTGAGAGCCAGAGGGAAATTACCAGAGTCAAAAGTCAGGCGGAGGTAATTAATTATGGACGGATGGAGATGAAATAAGTGACTCCATTTCGCTCTCGTTTTGTTTATGATTGTCCTGTAAATACGTAAGTGAAGCTATTGTAATATGGCATTCACATAAATAACGCGAGTTCGTCGAGCTGCGATATTTTGCTTCTTACAATTAGCTTGCTTACCAGTTACTTTCGTTTTCAGTGTGATTTGAAACTGTAACACCCTTCAAAACCAGTACCTGCGTGGTGGTAGAGCCACAAATTTGCATTTTTATTGCAATTCTTACCTCTCCTTAATGACAGCAGATGAGAGTAAATTACTGGTTTACATATTACTCTGCAGTTAGGATGGCATTACATATTTAACGTATAGGTACATACACTAACTGCACTGGGAACAATTAAGAACTGATGCATAATTATGTGCGTGAATGACTCTAACAATCTGATTTGTGCAAGCTTGCAATAATTATTTCTGCAGCAATTATTGTTTAGTTTCGGTTAATTTTATTTGCAATTTGAATAAGAGAAATGCATACATAATTGTCAAAATTGAGATATTTTGTGTCTAGTTTTTACTACTTGATTTTTTATCGTTTGCAATAAAATCATGAAAAATAATCGCGTGGTTGGTCGATATTGATGAATGGATATATTCACTTCACGAGGAATAAATATGACTCATAATAAAGCAAAACACAGGCCAATAACCAGATCAACTCCACCCTCTCGTAAAATAAAGAAGAGTGACAATAAAGCGTTATGCAAGTTTGCGTTATCCATTTAAAAGAATTTGCATACCGATAAAAGACAGGTCGTCGAGAGAGAAGGCTTGGCTTGGCTGACAAAGTGCGTCTCTGTATTCTAGTGACAAATAAATTTATTGCGACATCAAATTTAGAGCAATTTTTGGTCAAGTCGGAAAAAAATGTTCATTTTAATTCCATACTGTGACATTTTTTTGCACCTCAATCTTTACAGCGTCGTATTTTTTCCTTTAAACCTTTACACTCACTGATAGCTCATTTCAAATCTTCTCGATTTGACAATTAACCAAAAAAAGCAAGTGTTATTGTCAATAATGAGTTTACGGATGTATGTATCAGACTAATATATTTTTTACCGTGGAGCAACGAACTGATCCCTTCGTTAGATTCGTTTTGATCTAAATAAGAACGTATGTACGTACGTAGCATTTAACTTTTCGATTAAACGGTGACTTTTCACGACTCTAATTTACGATCTTGTCCTTCCCTGACACGCCAGAAAATTAATGCATTCCACATGCAACAACATGGCAAATGTCTCGAGGGTTTTGGTTTTGCGGTGGAGTGTTGTTGCCTTGAAAAATTGCAATGCTTCCTCAAACCAGCAACGAAACACGATTATTTAACAGGATTTGTTTTGTTTTTTGAAAGTCGGTAATAAAAATCAGGAGTTGATTGCTTATTAGTCCAAGTTGAAGAACATGCAACATGAGATGGGCTGAACGTGCGTATTAAAGATTTTTAAGCCAATTTTGTCACTTTCTGTTTTGCAGAATCCTCTGGCAAGATCATGCAGTTTTAGGAGCAATCATTGTCAAGTCACATTCACATACCTTAATTTTAAGTTCCGAACAATACCAGAGAATCACAAAGCTTCAAAAACTATGAGTTTCGTAGATCTTCAGGAATATGTACCATCACTCCACTAACATCCTCACCTTTACCCTTTTGCCGACAGCCTTGTTTTGTGCATGATTGTGCGATATCGAAGAAATGTGTGTTGCCCCCGCTTGTTTTCCTTTATTTCATTGATTTCATTATAAACCTGGACCGGGAATTGGATATGGCTCTGCAGGGAGTCGCGCTATGTTTGCTTTGTATTTGCATCACCGTTTTCATCCGACAATAATCAGCCAAGTTGCGTAATATGTACGAATGAAGAGCAAGTTCATTTCCACAAAAGCCGAGTCTTCTTAACGGATTTGAACTGTGATTGAGCAATACTTTGTTTGCTGAGTGGTGGTTTATTCTTCGTTGTCCCAGTTTAGAACATTTTCTTATGATTACTCAATTTTACATGCTTTACAATCCGTTTCGTAGTATTTATTACATATTCATCTACACATTTATTGAACAATTATTACGAGTAAATATTCCATTTGATTAGTATTAAGAAATAATTGGACAATGAGATGAATACTCATTTTGAAATTTTGATTTATCGATTATTTATTCAAGAAGGTATTGTCGAATCTCAGACGGAGAAGGATGAGCCATTTGGCTTAATAATGCGTACATAACAATCTCAGATTTCCTATAGATAATATTGTTCTTTTCTTGAAAATCTGGAATTTTCTTACGCTCGGGTAACTTTGCACCCTCATCAAACACATCTTCTATTCTTTACACTGCATGTTTCAGCACTGTTCTCATCTCAACACAGCAGGCTTACACAAGACATGAAGAAATCGTCGTCGTATTGCACTTGCATCCTCTCTTCCCTCTCCTGCATTGATGAATATTCAGCAATTTATCAATCCAAATTCCATTCCAAGTTGAACTGATGCTCACAAAGTCGTGATTTCCTTAATTTCCTCCTAGCTGTGGATAAAAAATAGACAACTTTCGCTGCTAAATGAGAGAAGAAGAAGATGAGATTAGCCGAGAGAAGGTATCACAAAACACACAAATGAAGCCATCGGCGGTGGTGTTCATTTCCTTTTACACACAAACTCCGTGTATCAGCAGTGGGTACGGTTTTCCTTGATTTTTGTCGGCAAAGAAAAAAATGTGGATTGCTTGCATTGCATCAATTTTTATCCTGCACATTTGCATCTCTCCATGAATTTCATCCTACCTCGGGGAGTTGACAGCTAAAAACATATAAGCTTCAAATGGTAACCATGTTCGTCAATAATGTTTCCCATGTAATCCTTCCGAGCGAAGAAGATTGTTGGTTGGTGGCAATAGTGTAAATTAACGAAACTCGTGTTACTTTCAGTATCATCATAGAAATCTTATATCGTCATGCAGATGCAGGCAGATGCTCTGCTAGCCGTCGTTTTCTGGAGAAAAACGTTAATGTAGCGTAACGTCTTTGTAAACTCTTCCAAGGCTGCAGCGTCGTCTTCTCAAATCTCAAATTTTTTAGCCGTGAGAGAGATTTCACTCCTGAAAGAAGCGAATTATGTGAGACAAGCTGCACGAAACCTCAGTAAAGAAGCGGAATATTTTTGATACAATAAATTGATAGGAGTGAAACAGAAGGAGAGAAGAGAGAGTGATTCCGATGAGATGAAATGAGACTAAAGTCCCCCGTGTCGCGTTGGGAGGACAATGATAAATCCCACACAATTTTCTTCCTGTCGTCCCCCCTCTGGAGCGTGTTCTTATTATATTACCCACATTTATATTACATTTGCTCCCTGTACAAGATACGCACACACAGCAATCCAGCCAGAGATGTTGTTGATCTTCTGGTACAGTTTCTCAGACTGGGAAAAGAAACATGCTATTTTCGCCGAGGAAAGTGTGGTAGCAGGAGCATGATTTCGTTTCCTAGCACGACATGTAGTTTTTCATTGAATCAGCGGCGGCGTTCACCCAGTATCAAATCTAGTTTATACATTATTATTAGACGAGAAAAATACGAAGCAATATCTGAAGCAGTTTATTTATGTCCAGTGTGTTGGAGTTATGGGAGGTTGCGGTAATATATTGTGGTACGGTTTGAAATTTATCATCGCCATTTTTTTCTTGTGAGTCTATTTTACGTACGTATTTATAGTTTAAAATTGGTGTGGGCAGTTTATTAACGTTTCATTACGAATTATTCTGATAATAAAGTTATGCTAAATACAGTTATAGCTACTGGAAATTAAAGTCTTAAATTAAACTCTAAACATGTATGTATAACAGGCGTAAATACTTAATATGTGACGATGTGTATGTAATAATGCCACTTTTCACTCTTATTTTTATGCTACCCACAGAGTTCCCATGACTGAAACTATTTGATTTGATGATACCCACTGACTCAATTCTACTTGTAATGCCTAAAGTTTTACAATGAAATGAAATGCATCTCGCCCATTATACTCTTGACAATTCTTTAAAACTTGCTGATCCACTGACACCGAGAGAGCTCTATTATGTAACTGATAGAAGAAATATTTATAACATTCCTTCCTCTCTAAGCCTACATATACATGTCTTAAATGGTTGTCAATATTGTTTGTTAATCTAGGATGTGGCGCTGTTTAGGATGACTACACAAATTTGAAGGAAGTAAAAGTCAGGTTGATGCTTAATCGAGATACCAAAATTATTACATTCACATTTATTTATGCACCAGTTACGTATAACTTTAAAAATGACAGATTTCCATTCCTTGTATTTTAATCACTTCACGTTACAAATGAGGAAACATCCAAAAGTGAAACCACCACATGAGAAAAATTAACTCAATAATGCATACATATGTCAAAGAATGTGTGTGATGTGAGGCAAAAAAAGATCATAATTTTGTGTGGGTTAGTTATTTGAGTGATGTTTCAATAGGAACGAGAAGAATCAAGTCGACAACAGATCAAACTTTTGAATGATTTGTGGTTAGAGCAGTAAAGCAAAACCACATATTAATGCAACGCCACATTGACGAACGGAACACAATTTAGATCGACTTAAATGGATGACACCTTGATATATGTGCTGTCACTTTAAATTCATGGGTTTTGCTGAGTTTTAAAAACTAATTTAAGAAAAGAAAGTTATTCTTGTTTGTTGGGTTGGGTATACATTTTGTTCGCAAAAAGAGGCAAAATTTTCATTTACTTTCAATTTTCTGGCGCAATATGGAATTCTTTTAGAACAAAAACATTTGCAATATGTACTTGCCAATCTTAGCAGAAGCTACTTGTTTGGTAAACTAATCTGCAAATACTTTGCAATTCCATTACAACTTCGCCCGCTTAATACTTACCGAGAACATTCCGCAGTTTCTTGAGAAATCTTTTACCCACATGTCTGTGCATATCAAAGAAAATAAATTGATTGGCCTCGAAAAGAAAAGTTTTAAATTCTTTTGCGACTCGAGTCAAGAAAGGGCTCAAGAAGGTATCTTATTTATCGGGGTTGCCAAACTTTTGAACATAATTTGTTTGAAAGCCGTGTACTTATGTGAAACTCGGGAAAACAAAGGAAAGCTATTCAAGGAAAAAAATGGGGAAACGAAATTTGAAATAAATCCGAATCGTGAAAATGGTCTGCATAGGTAATAGCTTATGGAACTAACTAGGTAACCTGTAACCAGTAACATGCATATGTATGTACACGCCTAATTATGTACAAGTTACTGGGTTGATAAATAATATGCATAAGTAACAAAGGTATGTATGGAAATCGATAAATTGTTTATCAGCATCAGCTAACTTATCTTAACCTGTTGTGACTATATACTTTTCAACATCCATTCGATGACACCTAGTGGAAAACAGCAGGTTGTTGTTTATAACATTAATTTTAACGTGACGAAAAATTAAGTTTCAATTTCTTTTGCTAATATGATTAAATTAATAAATCTAGTTAATCTTTTCATCGTAATATTATTGGTCCTAAATCTGGCCACTTCTCTCGAAGATGCAGGCTCGTTTAATCAGCAAACATGTCCCTTGAAAGAAACCCATTGGAGTAGCACACAATTAAAATGTGTCGCACAAGAAGGTTCAAGTTGTTCCGGAATTATTGAGTGCACGGACAACGCCGGGTGCCACGACTTTGAGTACATTTGTCGTTGCAACAATGGTTACGGAGTGTTCAGTCGGGAAAGATATTGTCTCCCATCTTATGGATCGAGTTGCACAAATGTCAGTTTTACAGGTCCGTTCAATCATATCCTATTTTTAGATTAGATACCTTATATAACACATTAAAAGTATAATTTTCTTATAAGTAGAACGGCCCTGCAACCCGGACAACTTTCTCCAGTGCAATGCCACCCAAATGTGCGATTGTCAATCAGGCTACATTTGGGATGGAAGCATGTGCCTCGCCCAGCCTGGTCAGAAATGTGACTTGAAAGTCACCACGGACATGACCAAAGCCTCCTTGTGCATCCCATCGGCCGAATGCACGCCAGGAAATATAACTGGTGGTGACAGTGATCCATCTCAATTAAGGCAAGGAACTTGTCAGTGTCCTTCTGGAACCCGGCCGGAAAATGGTAGTGGCATTTGCAGCAGCAGTACGAGCCGAAGACCTGGAGGATTCTCCGAGATATTTTTAGCACTTCTCATTACCAGGCTAATATTTTAACTATTTATGTTATGCGTGTTTCGTGTCATCATTTCAATGAAAGAATTTGTCATTATCCTTCCCTTGCATAGAAATGCAATTTCAGTATTAAAGCGAGTGCAGTGTGTATTTTCTTTGCTACGTGAAGTACAATTTTATGATTTATCTGCTCATGGTCGTGGCACGTGTCTAAACAATTTCAGCCGACGCGTATAAGAGAGCACGAGAATGCGCCAGTAATGAACTACGTCCTTACTTGTTCCAGACTAAGGATGAGTAAAAGGAGCTAAGAAGCCGATAGAAAAGTCAATTTGCTTTATATTGTCTAAAACAACCATTTATTTCAGAAGGTAAATATTTTAAGCCAAATAGAATTTATGGTTGATTAGCCACTTAAAGTTGTGAGATTGGTTCCAGGAGATATTCCAAGTTCATTCCACGCTTCAACAAAAGCCAACGAGTTTTATGTCGCCTTCAATTCGCCTTCAATTTCCGCATACTTATTTATTCTCCCATATCGTCCATACTCATCTCTTCAGTTTTTGCCCGAGATCCTCTCAAAAAAGTTGGTGTGGTGTAATGTTTGGAGAAGAAGTCGCTTACTACATACCTTAATCCGTTCCCCTATAGTTCCATGACTGCGGCTCATCGCAAGTACGAAAAGAAAAAGACTTGTGTCGAAGTGACTTTCTTTCCTCGTGCCATTCAATCTTGAAGGGATATGGTTCGAGTTAGACCGAATAATTCGGCTCAACTTCATAAAAATCTTTCTACATGTTTGTGAGGTGACACGCGCAAAAAATAGTTTCACATTTAAGTAAAAATTAATGAAAATTTTACTCTAAATACGGACTACATTAAATCTATTAAAATATATAAACTCGGATACCCACACAAAAAAAGTTACGGCTAAAAGAAATCCAAAAATGTAAAATATGGTTTGAATATTTCCATACATGTCGACCGAAAATACGCGCTGATGTTGATTATTTTCTTCCGCATTTCTCGTCCACTTTCTCCGGCGGAGAAAACTTCTCAATATCGAATGCTCCATTAGTTTAGAATAACAACCAGATTCCAGATACGTTGTGAAGACCCGAGGCAAGGGAGAGGTCCCTTCATTTTGAAACACCCACCCCCGAAGGCGAGACATGAGGTCGTCTTTTCCCTTATAAAAATTTACCCGTGGGTAATGTCTCTTCAAATATGTAACTTCTTCCCCGATTTCGTCCGCTGATCCGACAAAGACTGATCTTCCACATTCCGTCGATTCTTTTTCGATTGCAGACTCCACGGAAAATGAGTCGTTATTAATGTCACCAATGTATTTTGGATGTTTTCGATGTTGTCGGTGCAGCAAGCTGGAGAAAAGTTGGTCATACTTAAATTCCATTTTAATTCCCATCATAAAATCCATTGCTAAACGGTACGGAAGCTGGTAAAGGTCTGCAGAAGCGTAATTTTGTGGGTCGTGTTTTACAAATTTATTTGTTGGTTTGGATAATAGAGCAAAGCAATTGGTGGAAGGTTTCAGTTTAATTTTTTTGTTAAATTCTGTGACTGGGCCAAATTCCTTTGGGTGCAAAGAGACAAATGCAAATATTTGCCCTAGATTGGACCCTGGATCGTGGAACGCGGTATCATTCGGTAAGAGACAAGCAATTTGTGAGAAAAACTCGACCGAGGATTTTGCAAGTGGTGCATTCAGTTTGATGATTGAGATGGCATGCATTTAAAGCCTCTCCAATTAAATGGGAAGTACCCTCCAAATATTTTAAAAGTACCCTTCATGGATACCTGCCTCTTAAAGTTATTTTTGAATTAGGATTTCGGTGGCAAACTACCTCTTAAAATAATGTACATATCTACAAGCCATAATTTTATCATTTTATGTAAAAAGCGTATTATTTATATACGATTAAAGTTAAGGCTTCCATAAAAGCATGCATTTTTAAAAGGCACATGGTACTCAAAACTGTTGTGAACTTAACAGGTCCTCCACGCTTACGCTTGGTACAGGTTTTGGGTGCAGGACAATATCGAAAAATTCTTTTATAATTGCCAGACAAATCTTTATACAGTACCAATTCTTAAAAAAACTGGTACACGTACAATGGTACACCGATTTTTTCTCATCAGCGCAATAAAATCGAACTAACTATAGAGTCGCGATTTTCAAAAATTGTCTTAAAAAGGTGAAATTTGGCGCAGTGAAATTAGCGATTAATACCTAATCGCTTCCCACGAAAGAATATGAAGTTACAAGTGAGCAAAGTGCAACCAGTGACACTATAGGTCACTATGTACCGTTTTTAAAAGTTATTATTTTTATCTTAAATTTAATATGGAGGGTAAAAACCACTCATGGATAGCACATACAGCCTTGTAATTTAGCCACAAACGTGCATTTTTTGATAGACTTCAATAGGTTTTTTTTTTACATATGTCAGCGATTTTTCCAAAAAGATATACTCTTTTAGAGAAATCTAAGAAATTCGCAATACATAAATAATTCCATTCATTTATGAGCTTTCCATGCGCACTTATATCATTGTTAACAACAAACATTTGGTTTAAATAAAAATCAGGAAGATTCCATTCATTAATGTAATATGAAACCAAAGCATGTGGAAAGCTTGTTATTTGTAAGTGTGAAATATTAAGCTATTTTTCACATTTTTGCAGTCAAACAGAATAATTTTTAAGCTATTCAAAACGAATTAAAAAAATGTTTTTCATAAATACATCTGTTGGGGATCTGAGTAAACATTTTACATGAAGAGTTAGGGTTTTTAAGAACATATTCAACCGGACTCTGGTAGTAAAACCCATCACTGATACGAAATTTACACAGATTTGTGATATGCAAAATGAGAGGCTACTTCCATTTAAGGGGAGGGAAAATTTAGAGCATTAAGAAGTTGCTTTCCATTTAGGTAACTTCTTAAATATTCGGAGGGTAATTCCCATTGTTTTGGAGAGACATTAAATTACTTCCGATTGAGATTCCGAGATAACAATTTGCAAAAACGATACAAATCAGAGCCCATAATACTCGGAGGAATCTTACTTCAAAATTATTCCACCATTTTTCATGTAAATTTACCACTATTTGTAGCAACATTGATAAAACGTAAAAAATTAATAGTCCTGAAATTTTCTTTTCTTTAATAAACTGGATTCCAGCAAGTAGCAGACTGACGCAGCCAATGCAAACCAACAGTGTCCACCAAACTTTGCTGTCAAATGGTTTCAGATAGAAAGTGAAGACAATTCTGCTCGAACCAGTGAAACAAGTTGCAAACGCGTAGCTGGTTTGTTTCGTGGTTTGAGTAGCATGTCGGGGGAGATACGGTGTCAAGGTGGAAAAATCGGAATCAATGTAGACCGTTGGTTCTACCGAATACATGACGTAAACATCATCACTGTACGGCTTAAAAAATTTATAAGTGATGTTAACTCGGTTGGCTAAAACACTTAGAATGTGCCACACTGTCGTGGACCTTGGTAGAAATGGGTTTTCTTCACTTTCAAAAGGTCCAATATTTCTTAAAATGTCACTAATTCCAGTCAAACTAGCATCCGTGTTGACTAGAGATGTTTTTATTAGTGTCCAAACCTTGGGAGAAAATATGAACGAGTTGAAAATTTCGATGTTGGGAACCGTGGCAGAATAACTGCAAGTCATTCGAGCTAGTGTAAAGATTACGTTTTGGTGATGAATGCAAATTTGCGAATTTTTTGGATCCCTATTCGAAATTAAGATCACTGCAAAGTTATAAATAAACACGTTCCCAATGTCATTGTAAAAAGTTAATAATTTTAATTCTTGGGGAATAACGTCAGTGTGATTGTTGATCAATGGGATAAAGAGGAAAAAAGTATAGCGCAAACTTTTCCCGTGAGCGTAAACATATCCGAATTTGTCATTATATAAATTTGGGATGACACCAGCCACCAAAAATCCTAGCTTGCGCAAATTCCGGAACGTTGTAACCATAAAGGCGTACTGGCAAAGGAGCCGTCTCGTCCGATATATGTCAGAACTGATCTTTCTCAGTTTTCTCTGGTCGAGAAACGAGAGTGAAAACAACTTCACCGGGATGGAAAGCTGTGTGTGTGAAGATTTTTGAACAAAACAGGCTGGATGTAGGTCGGTAGGATAAATTATGGAAATGTGACACGACTTGGGCACACCTTGTAATATTTCTTGGAAAATTGGACCACGAGGGGAAGGATGTGCAAAAATTTGGACTAGTTTTATGAATATTACGATTTGAAAAAGCATTTTGCTATGTTGAATGGCAACTGCACAATGGTTTCGCCTTGTTCTAATATGAATTTTACATATTCGCGTTTTCAGACAATTGCTGTTAAATATGTACATACTTACATATAGACTTGTGAGATGAGCTATTTAAATATTAAAAGAGTTATTAAAGCCTTTAATTATTATGTTTTTCTCATAAATACAAATGCAACACGATGCTAACTTCGCCACAATATTAGATATTTGAGGAAATTACATTTTAGCATAATAAAGTAGAATAATTTGAATTTGCAATTTTTGTGCATGCACATTCTTATGAATGAACAAACTTCATAAATTAACACCATAGATTTTATCCTACTTTGGCTGGATACCATCTGATCCAATCTTTCCAACTCAATTGTAAAAACACAAAAAATGAAGAACTCCGAACCATATCATTCTCATGTCGATAACTCAGTCGCACCAGTCTCTTGAAAAGTGCGTCTAGGCAGAGAAAGCCGTCAAACACCAGCTGTCTCCAGAACACTCTACCTTCCATACGTACGTACTTTTTCTGCAACACACGGAAACGGCAGATCAATCAATCGTTTCCCAAAAACTGTCATATTTCCGAACGCGTGCATATGAGATATTAGTACATTCATATAAACCGTTGTATGTATGCTGGGAGTGGCATCCACAATTAAGGCGCAAACAGTCAAAATAAATATTATATCATAATTTCTCATTTTCGAAACCGGAAAAACTTACTTATTTTTCCCGCAATGGGACCACAAACATATTTACTGAATAATATTTCATGATGCATTCGAACCCTTCCTTCCTCTCGTTATTGGACCAGCATTCGATATCTTATTCCTCGCACCCTTTCGTTTTATCTCATTTCAACGCCACACGAGCTGGGTGCGGGCGTTGCGTTGCGTCGGACTGGTGAGAGTGCTATGTGATGATGTGCGATTAGTGGAGATGAAGAATGTTCACGTTTCACGAAATTTAGGATGATGGAGATTGAGGAGACGCGGACCGTGTTGCGAGTACCATAGAATTTGTCCCATCGTCGTCGCCTTCAAAAGTGGGGGCGTCTATTGAAAAAGGCTCAATTAATCTTGCACCATGTTGTTGCTGTAAAGAATGACACGCAGTCTGCCATGAATTGACGGGCAAAATAAGATTATGCTTTTAAGAATGACAAGGAACATAACTTATTTCTGATATTTACTGCATGGAACAATACTTGTCGATTTGCGTGGATATGAATTCATTTATTTTTATTTATGTACCAAACCAATGTGTCAATGTTTCGGAAATATCATGAGTAAAATTAAATTTATGTTTTACTTAATTTCCAGACACGGCTCTGTGTTTTGTTTTAGATTTATAGTGCAGTGTGACAGACGAGACCGCATGAAGGTTTGGTTGACCAACAATTTCTTAAATCAAGCGTGAATCCATTGTTGTGAGAAGAAGATGAATATACACATGTTCACAAATTACATAAAGGATTACATACATACGACAAGTTTATTGTTTAATGCCATAAACACTTTCCTTGTTGTAAATAACTAACAAGGAGTGATTACAGCAACAAATTGCTCATCTAATGGTTTCATACACAATTCAAATTAAATATTAATGGGGTATTGTTGTGTTTGTCTTACACAATAAACTGCCCAATATTGATTGTTTCGTGTTTGTTGAGGTAAGTGAGTAAATGCTTCGAAGCGTTTGAAAAATACCTCATAAATCCGGATTGATCTGATATTTGAATATTGAATCTGATATTTGAGGCAGGTTGAAGTGGAATGATTTACAGCGCAATTGTGCTGCCCGGACTATGAACTCTCTCCATTGTTTGCAGTTCCGGTTAATTGGATCAAATTTAGTTTTGAGGAAAATCTGGCATTAGCTCAGATTCTTAGAATGGCGAAAATGGTTGAACTTTAGTTGGCACATTTAAAAAAGTATTAGCAAACAAATTTTGCTATTACGACTCAACTTAATCGTGTAACACAGCGGTCATCCGGAAATAATGGGATATTGTGTTTCTCATCAACGTCATAGTTTACATAATGTGCTTGCCACGTTGGGTTGAATTAAAATCAATTATGCAAAAGTGATTTAACGGGATATACTGAAATTAAAAAATCTCTTGCTAACATTACCTTGATTTTGATTATGTGGCATTAGATCATGATGAGACTAACTGAGAAAACTAATTTTTTTCAGTCGTCGCATTAACGGATCATACCGCACACAATGGAGAAAGATGAAAAGACGTTCTTCCAATCCAAATCCTATTCATCGTACAGAACTTATTCTGCGTAAAGACTTATGAATAATGGGATTCGCAAAAATTTCAATGTTTACTTTTATTCCTTTTCGCATAGAACACGAGCAAAAAATATTAGTTCAGTGTCACAATTTTTTCTGAGACGTCGTATCGCTTTGAAAGTACAGTAACCAATATGAACATATCAGGACCGTATTTTACCAATATAAAGTAGATCTCTTAGCCATATGAATAGTTCAGAAAAACTCATTACGACTCTGCATTTCTACATCTCTCAAAGCCTCCTGATTAAAATTAGAAATGCAAACTCACGTTTTAACACTTCCATCGCTTCTGTTCATCTTACTCTACTTTCTTCTCGTATTATAATTCCTCCTATTTTTATGAGATGAAGAAGACGAGAACAAGAAGACAAATTTCAATACTTTGAGCTATACGGACCGTCAGGCGTCACAGCGCGTGTGTATTGTACTGCTTTTCATCCGAAACCATAGACTCTATTCCAGTCGGATCTTCGGTCAGAAAGACTTTTTCAATCATTCTGCTAGGTTGTTTATCGTTACATATAGTACATGCTTACATGTGTGTGTGATTACATTTCTTTTGTCAGGACTCGTTCTCGCAAAATATATATTCATACGTAACATATAAGCACTGTAAGTAAGTAAGTACATACGTATGATGCAACCCTCGTCGTCATTCAGTCTTCTTGAATTACGGGATAAGTAATAATGAAATGAAATGAAGCAATGTTTTCAAAGACCGTGCACATCTCTCTGGGGGCCTTCTTCTCTTAGAAGCTTTTGAATCTGCATTTCTGCAATTATTTTGCAATTGGGGCTGACATCGGTGTAAGCCCATTTCAAATGCCTACCATGCCACCATCCAAGGTGATTACGATTTTGTGACAGAATACGTACATACGAGTTTGCCTGTAGGATTCAATCTAGTCATTTCCCCGTTTCAACTAATTTCATGCTCATTTTCCACTCGATATTCATATTAACTTTTTATCGAGTTTGCTCTGATTTTGATCCGATTCCTTCGCTAGACATTGATCTCTCAAAGGCGAGAGACGTTACCTTATGTAACGGGATTTGCAGTTAATGGGGTTTCTATTTCCAAGCAGGGTGCAGACAGATGCAGATTACGGTTTTGAAATCCGAGTCGAATATTTTTTTACTTGTGCTGCACAAGTGCACACATATTTGTCCAACAGTTGCATGCATACGACAGATTAAAATCGTGATAAAACAATGTACTTCCTATGTACGAGTTGAGCATAATTAACAGTTCAATGTGGCATTTTTTTAATGAAACACGCATTTTTAAGTCGATTTTATTGTTAATTTCAATTTTCTTCTGACTATTTCCAAAATTATGAGGGTGCAACGATCGGTGAAGATTTTAATTGAAATTTGACACCCATATGTACCAACCCAGAACATGCTTTTGCCGACAAAAGATTGACATCTTTACACAACGTCCTCTCTCTCACGGTTGATACGAGTGGAAAGAAACACAGGATAAAAAGTACCTGTTTTAAATACGTTCGACGAAAATACGACATTGTTGATCTCACCATGAAATGATTCATGGAGCTATCTCATGCAAAACTGCAAACTCAAAGCGAACAAACTTGTCTGACATGTGCAAAAAATTGTGGAGAGTTACGTTAATGTTCAAAAAACTTGCGCTTATCTTTTTCCAATCTGCCTGCGAAATGTTTATTATAAATCTCAACGACTGGCTGGCTGGTTGGCTGGCCTAGTTGAAATTCAAGTTCAACTTAATGGTAATTATCAGTCAATATAGTGAATGACCAGTATTGTTTACTTTAAAATGAGCTCGTCGCGACTAACTTGACCATTATTATGCAAAAGTATTCATTATTCAGGAACGGTTACTTCGCAATGTATTTATTATATGAAAACTATAGGGCTCATTGATCAACTCGACTCAATTTAATACCTTGTCCTCGGCTATAAACTCTACTAAAATCTACGAAATTTGACTAAACCACGATTAGATTAGGAATTCCAATTTACAGAATTTTGGTTACAATTGTGTGACCCACTTTTTCGGTTTTGTGTTTGCAAATCAGGTAACCCGACTCAATTAATTTGTTCTCTTAATAAATAATTCAGACGAAATGGAAATAATTTAAACCTGGATCTCGTATGTGTACATATTTAAATACGTACATAGACACATCGATCTTCTCGACGAAAAGGCGTCAAATGACAACGATTTCATCCTGACTTCTTAATCTCTACAATGTCACAAAAGTTTAATGACATTAGAGTCGTTGGCTGATGTTTTATAAATGGCTCATTCCCAAGTGTCATGTTAATTCAATCCATCCAGCAGCTCTTCTGGTACTTGACGTGACCATGCAATGCAACGCAGGTAGGAAAAAATGCCGAGGTAGTGTAATCTTTTGTGCCGTGAAACATTTGCTCACTCCTAATGAAAAACACATTAGTCGGATCTGGATGAAGCCTTAATGTGATGTAGTCAACACCATCAGACACACATCTCTTACCTTCTTTTCAACCAAAGCAATTCCAGTCCAGCTCCTTTCACAAATGCGTCTCGAGTATTACAAGATGATTTTTGTAATCAGCAAAAACTGACATTTGCCTGCGTACCATTTGCGCTATCATCAACCTTTAAGATCAAAAAGGTACTCTTCTTCTCGCATTAGAAATCACATCTTCTCAAAGATTAGGCTGTTGTGTATGAGCTAAAAGATTAATGAAGTTTAAGAATATTACACCACTTTAGCTTATATGTAGATAAGTACTTATTGCAAATGATGCTATACTTGAAAAAAACGTGATTTTTATAAATCTCCAACTCTTTTCTTCTGACATGCAAAAATTGAGGGAATAAAAATTTGAATGAGATTTGGATTTGTTATGGGAGGATGGAGAACCAGATGAAGTCATGTCATGCATCATGGAAAGGGTTGCTTCGGCATAAAATTCCGATCCATTCCATAAGTATTAACACCAAGACTAAGGTTTGACCATGCAGACTGGCAAAGTTTTAGAGAAGTGAAGGAGATGAACCTTGTCGGCTGCGAGGAAGAGGTAATGATATCGCTTAATTGATAAGTTCAAAGCAAAATGGATTTTATATACTTACAGGTTTAGTTTTTACCTGTGGATTCTCCTTCCATGATGGGAAGCTCTCGGTGAGAAATTTCAACTCCAAAGATATTTTATCTAGTTGAATATGTACATCATGCTGGATACGGAGGCAAATGACGGAATTTCAAATTAGTGATGGGAGGATGACGTTTCTATTTTCAAAGGGTTGTTGCCTGTCAATAAATTGAATGTGCAGGATTCGATGGGATTTAAATAGTAGTCGAGGTATGCAACACATTTAATGTTTTTCATAGTTGGGTGCTGCTGCTGCTGCTAAATTGGCATCATGTCATATTCCCAAGTTACTTAATTCCCAAGTTCAACTCTAATAGAGCAGTTGGCTGGTGCACCAACCAGGTAAATTATGCAGTCAATTTATGGATGATGCTGTTCAGAAAAATGGCAGATGAACTGACATAGCTTTTCAAAGTGATGTTGATTATTGACTGAGAATCTCATGAAATGAGACCTCCCATGCAGCCAGCACAGCAATGAACTTGATCTCGTTTTCCATTTCTTTAATCATAACTTTTCCTTTCAATCATCTCACATTGCTGACACACATTGGCCTTGCTTCGTTATACATGGGTTGCTTATATAATAAGCCAAACTGGATTTAAATCCACAGCAGATCACTCCTCAGATTAGCGTACCTCCTATCAAAACAATCATACAGCAAGCTCATATCTCTATTATAAAGCTGAATTATTCATCAAAATCGTGTTATTTTTATAAAATGTTTCATTACTTATTTGAGTTGGCCGAGCATGTATTTCTAATTTTTTCGTAGTCTCCAGAAATCCCAAACGCCACGAGAAATCTCAAATTTCCTCATGTCCAATATAGAAACACGAGACGGTGACCGGAGCAAAATTGACGTATCAATTAAGCTTTTGGCAGGTGACTGACAGAAGTTCGGTCCATCCTTTTCTCTCAAACTTTGAGACGGACGAGGAGGAAAGGTGATCCAACTTTTTCTTCCGAATCGGTCTTCTTATCTCGAAATGGAATGAGAAAATATCTCATGTGCCGTATCATAATTTAATAATTCTCTCAGAACTGCATTTTTATGAGCATCAAAGACAGTTGAAGGTTTCCCTTGAAACTTATGTAATCCGCCTCTTCAGACCCTGTCAAAACCACGGAATGTTTTGTTTTACTCGGTCCAATCAAAAACTACACGAATCCTTTTAAAAGATAAGTTATACAAGAGTTCCCAGTATTTTATCCAATTTGTTTTCTGACGTTTCGACGAAGTGCAAAATTATTTTTACATATTTTCAGGAATTTCGCATGGGTGAGGTTTCATATGAACTGATCTCCCCAAGCAAATAATTCAGTACCTTAACCACCCGGATGAAAAACAGTATATTTAATACATACATACACACATTGAATTGACTCCGGTTTGCATAGGTGCATTTATTGCCGTGGATTAGTCGGATTGCATGGGAGTTCAACTTCTTTTCTTTCACTACGACAAAACACGGCAGCAGCACATATACGACGACGACCAGCAACAGCCAGCCAGCCACCTCTATGCATCATTAGGCTAATGGACTATTTATGTAAAGCGTTGATTGTGACTTCACGCAATGTCATGAAACCGCGATAATTCTTCTTTTATGTCCCTTTTACAATACCTCGTCGTCCGATACTACGAGCGATACGATACCAAAACATTTCGGTTGAGTTTGGTCACCCCGAAAACATGGGGTCTCTTACATACGTATAAGTAGGTGAGCACATATTTAAGGACCCCTATTTCCATCCAGCGACATACTTAACCTTAATGAAATAAAATCAGGGAAACTATGTCAAACTAACAGATATCGTCACCTATTGAGCCACAAAATTGCACAGGAATACGATTTATTCAAAGGGTTACATGTTGTGACAATTATGCAAGGTTTCACTTTTTCACAATTGCATTGTGCCCGATATTTATTACGATTTTGTAGAGGGACAGATGTGAATTTTACTTTTCAACAATAAATACATATTTTGGGGAGAATCATCCCTTTCAAAAATATAAAAGTAGAATAGATTAACAACCGTTTTTCCTAGTTTTCAACGTATGAAACGAGGAAAAGGTAGAAAAAATCACTTACGCTGTGTATGTATGTAAGCCAGATTTCTGGTCATTCATACTTTTTTTGCTCTCCGTAGCAAACGAGCGGACGCACTTATGCGGCTATCCAACTCTTTTCTCTTATCCTCCCTAAATTCACTTTTACTGTTCCATTCAACATTAACTTCCACTTTTTAGCCCGAGTCAGGGCTTATGGAACCATCATGTCCGTCCGTCTGTCCGTCTTACGATAACTCTCGTTAAACTCATCCTATCGACTTGAAATTTGGTACACATGTAGTATGGGACAAATGAGGAGTTAAGTTCGAAGATGGACGAAATCGGTCAAGTGGTTGACCAGTCATATAGGTGGGTGGGGTATTATGCATCAAAATTTCAAAATCGTCATAGAAGGCAGAAATTTGGCACTGAGGTTGCTAATGGTGTCTAATGAAAGAATATGAATTCAAGTTGGAAAAAAATTTCATGTTGAGGGACCCGAGGGGGTGACCCATACTGATTTGTCAAAATCGTCATATCGAGTTGAAATTTGGTAGACAGGTTGCGTATGGGGTTTAAGGAAGAACATTAAATGAAATTGGTCAAATTTTTTATCTGGAGGGACCCGAGGGGGTGACCCATACCGATTTTTGAAAATCATTTAATTGAGCTGAAATTTGCCATTGACGTTTCTAATAGCTCCTAATGAAATAATATGAAGTTAAATTAGTAAAATTTTTATGTGGAGCGATCCTAGGGGGTGGCCCATACCGATTTTTATAAATTGTCTTAAAAAGATGAAATTCGGTATGGTGATACTTAATGGTCTCGTATGGAAGTATATCAAGTTAAAAGCGAACAAAGTGGAACCAGAGTAGCCTAGGGGGTGACCCATACCGTTTCTACGAACTAAAAGTCGCTATTTTATTGCTTTCTCTAAAAGTCGCTATTTTAAAAATTGGTAACTGATATTCGAGAAATTGGTCATACTTGAATTGGCGAGATGAGAAGAAATAAAATTAAAGTGAAAGCTATTCATTGCGTTTTCTATACAGTTCAAAAAGGCACGCAAAAAGGCAAATAGGCAAATAGGAACAAATAGCAAAAAGGCTGACTTTTTGCACACACTGGTCACCCCCACTTGTTTGGAAAACGGGCGTAGACGACTAAAAGTTGGCGTGGTCCTGCAGGGTTAGATTAGCTTAATAAATGTAAAGTAAACTTTAAGATTTTTTTTGCCAGGAGGACCCAGTGGGGTTTTTGGAATTGGTTAAAGAAGCTGCAATTTTGCAGCGACGATTGCGAATTATTCGCAATCGACAAAAATTTTCCCATAATGACCGGTACCAACTACTATTAGTGGTCGGTACCGGTCACTTGACAAACATTTAGAAGAGGACTCTGTCCCTGACTCGGGCTATATAAACACTGCACACTGTAGGTTTTTATTGTTAAGGCCATGTCCAGCCTGTAACATACTAAACTCCTAAGTCGGACTTTGTTGGTCGCATTTGCTTGTCTAGAGCGAGATATTATATTATACGACTTGAGATTCCTTTTAAGCAGTTTTTCTCTCCTCTCTCACTTCGAACTAAACAAACCCAATTCCCAAGCATTTTGTCATCTAGTGTGTTCTGTTCTGCTATCTATCTCTGCTCCTTGGGTTGCTTTGTCTTGTTGTCTTTCATTGTGTAATGCTAATGTCGTTTGTTTGTACGTTCCTGATATTACATGAAGATGGTCGTGTCAACAAGGTTCTACACCAAGCATTACAGGGTGTCTCCAGCTGGGTGGGCCTGATGAGAGCGTCCATTTAATTCTATTAATTCTTGATAACAATTGATTTCTGCTCCTCCAGTCACACATTATTCATTCAAAGCAAGGAACGAACCCCTATTTTTCATGGACAATGAACTATTTGTATTTCCAAAGTCAAAGATTTCCCAGATCGTGATACAAGAAACTGGATGAATAAACATTCTTCATTTGAATTTTATTTGTTTTCCTCTGCTTACTTGTAATTGAAAATGGTGAAGGGTGAGTTTTAACTCTTCTGGAGTTAATCATATCATATTCCAACCAGGAATCCAATCCATACCGAGGAAAGAATTTGTTTTGTCTCAAATTACATTTTTGTTTGAAGAGGTCTCAACCGTGGTGGTAACAGAAGTACAAATATTTTGCCCTCCCTGGAGTTTTTTAGTCAGTCAAGTCATGATATTTCAATTTCTATTAATATAATTTCCGTCCCAGCCACAGGATGCTGTTGATAAGTGAGATGAGACGATGCCGTCGAACCAAAAAGATCACATACATTCCAACCCAAGGGTTAATGTTAATATGCACCAGCAGAGCGAACCATGAATTGTTTAATCCAGTGCTCCAAATGACTCTGCTAATCGTGAGGTTGCATGTGTTTTACCTGTTACGTGGTTCCTTTTCACTTTTCTTCACGCACCACAACAGCAGTGGAGACATTATCATGTTTAGTTGTGATATGCGACATTATTTGGTCAAAGTTCTAGACTGGGAAAGTCAGAGAGAGAAAAACAACGACAGCCAATATTGCTCTTTAGCATGCCAGTTACATAAGTATCCTTTTTATCAAGGCTAGACCAATGTTCACCTGAACAATGAAAAAATTCAGCCCGTTTCCATAAACCAAGCAGGGATCACCTTACTGCACACACGAAAAGCTTCTACATACGTTCTGCTGGCATTTGCTTTTAGCAGCCCAACGCTAAAACAAAGGAATGGAAATGTTATCAAAATATCAAGTCGTGAGTGGACGCACTAACATTTTTGCTGTTTCAATCGACATTTCAAATTCATTAAGCTCCCCTTCGGAGTGGCACTCTGACTGTGAAAAGTGCCAAAGTAAGAAAATTAAAGCGGTAATTGTGCATTAGCGTCTTACACATAAGCGGATGTCCTATTATTTAGTTTTTAATATGACATGTATGTAACAGCTGTAATCTACAAGAAGAGAGTGTGACATTCGAACAATATGCGAGTGACGGACAAAAGAAAAAATGTGTCACCTTATTATTTCAGCTTTTAATTTAAACTGCAGCAGTGTCACACTAAATACTAACTGTAAATTTTGAGAAAAAACAAATTACTCAAAGGCGAGTACATACATATGT